TAGCGAGAAGTGGAGGGGGAGGATAAAAGGGGAGAGAGGAAAGCATGAAGGGTTGTATAAATCATGCTGGGCAATTTCCCTCCTTTTTGTTTCGTCAAATACAGCAACGAATGTGACAGAAAACTTTGACTTCAGAGGAAATGTTAACTCTATCATATGCTAACTAATTACTAATCTGAGAAACTGTAACAACTGGTTTGTCAAAGTATGGATAGTCACTCTCACAGCTCTTGAGTGACATAAAAAGGTCCAAAGAGATCCACTAATGGGCTAAGAACAAAACTGAACCACCTGACTGTCTATTCCAACAGCCTGTCCTCATCTGAATTTTAAATTGTGCACACAGTATGCTAGGGGTTACTTGTTTTTCACACCTAAGCTGTTCACCAATGTGCTATGACAGATTCTCTGTTAATTGCTCAGAAGGCTGTGATTTCCAGATGCAAATCATGTCGAGTAGAAAGCGCACTATTAATTCCACAAACTGTCAGAAATGATCAGAGAAAACATCTTCAGTTATCAGTCAAATCAAACAGTTTGTATTGTCAAAAGTTCTTCCTTCAAAAGTGGTCTGAATGCCTTTTATGAAATTGAGTCGAGCTGAAAAGACGTTGCAGTTGTGCGCTCTGGATCTTGTTGTTCTGCACTCCCTCGCCTCTGCTCTTCTGCTCTCTCCGCTGTCTGCAGGCCGCGCCCACTTCATCAATCCACTTTACTCACCTGTGCACACAGCTGCTCCTCATCTGTAATCAGGACAGTACTTACCTCTCCAGCCCACTTACTCTCTGCCAGATTTCTAACTCTGTTTTCATGCCGAACTTTTCCACACTGTCACTTAAGATGATTCCCTGTTGACGACCCTGGGTCGGCGTTCCTGCTTCCTTTCCACTCAAAGTAGGAGACTTTATGAAGTTTTCTTTTTGTGGCTGTCTTTGTATACACACGCTGAGAAAGATCCAAAAGTTTGGGGTTTCTTTCTGAGGAAGAAAAGGGAAATCTAGTGGCATATCGTATCAAAGGAGCTGTTCAGTTGAAGGCCCAAAACACTCGCACAATACCTCACTTTTTCAATCTTATGTCTACAGTTTTCATACACAGAATCAATATTTTATCTAGAAGTATCATCAATTTTACTTAATGTAATGTAATAGGGTGTCCATACGTCCTCTTTTACCAGGACTTGTCCTCTTTTGGGGGCTGTCCGGCCTGTCCAGGGGAGTTTATAAAATCCTTCATATCTACGGGTTTTGTCTGGAAGTTAGAAGTGCATAACAAACACTCAACCTGACCTGAAAACCCCTTTAAATTTGACACTCGACTCTGCCTTGCGTAGTGGTGTCCTCTTTTTGAGGATTCAGAATATAGTCACCCTATAATATAACACGACATGCTTATGGCAAGATTTGATCCTCTTTGCCCAAAACAAACTCCAACGAGATGCATTTACAATATTTAGTCATTTATAAAACATATTTAGTTACATTCAAAGCACATGTGCTTTTTTCAGCAGATCTTTTTTTTGCTTGTATTTGTGAGGAAAGATTTTACAGATGCAGTGGAAAGCGTTCATGAACGCAGGCTTGGTGGAAGTAGTCGGTTTTGTACAGGATGTATTTTTCACAGATTTTTATTTCTTAACAATTTTCTCCTTCGTGCTGAGCGTCAGCCTGCTCCTTTTTCTGGCTGACAGTTTCTGCAGCCCTTGAAAAGAATTCTCTCACAATGGACGGACAGCGCAGGTATACAGAGCAACCTGGGCGCTGATTCAGACTGGTGGGGGGTAGTGCCTTTAAAGCCATTAGGTGCGTGCACCATTGAATAAAGTTTCATGAAGATGCATCAACACAGGTGAGGTATTATTGCAGTAGGACAACTCTTGTGTGCTCAGCAAATATAGGGTTACCATATTCTCAATACCCAAAAAGAGGATACAACAACGCGGGGGCGGAGTCACGGAGTCGCGCGTTGTTAATTCTGGGAGTTTTTCGGGTTGGATCAAGTGTTTTATACGTATTTCTAACTCGGTAAGTCTATGCGACACAAACTTAAAACTTATGGTCACCCTAGCAAATGATACACCTGAACATACAGGCAGTCCTAAGACCTAATTATATTTTTGTCGTATCTCTATTGTTGGTGCATTTAAGTTGAGTTTGAGGAATAACAGCTTATTTGGTGTGACCAAATCAGTATGCCCTTACACCTCCAGCACACGGCTGTAACTCACAATGCTCACAATCAACCTACTCTCTAAAAACCCAGTGTGTTGAGTGTCACTGAGGCGTCATATTGGGGCTCAGTAGGCACCAAAACTTTTAAACTGATAAAATACTCAGTGAGACACAGCTGACCTGCAGTGCTGCAGTTACAGATATCCCTCGATGCTGTTTCAAGCACAAAGCATTGACTCATATCAGTTCATTCGACTTGCACATGCTTCAGAGCTTTGGTATAGTTTTCTTGTCTCTGCTGTCTGCATTTTCTGTAGGTTGTTCAATGTATCCTGGGATTCCACTGACGTCTTACCTGCGCTTTTCCTGTGACTCAGAGACCCTCACAGTGTTGTCGCACTCGTCATTGCATAAACAACAAGTGAACACTCCTGAGTCTTGGTTCGGCTCTCCCTATACCCCGACCCTGTGGTCCAGTGCCTTTCTATTGATCTGAACTGTTATTGACGACCTGTTCTATTCCTGCACCCACTGAAGCTAAACAGAAGATCATTATCAGTGACACCAGACTCTGGGAGCTCTGCATTCTGGTTTTTAACACTTCAGTTCAGGGTGTATGTGAGCTCTTGAAGCGTGGTTATTTTGTTTTTTATATCCAGCTACTGACACCTGAGCAAGTTAGCTCAGAATCTAGTGCTAGATGTAGGAGATCTACTCTCAGCCCTCCCTGGGTATCTATCTCTTGAGCTGCAATCACACTGGCACAAATAATTGGAATAAATGCCTGATTGGTATAAAATGTGTTATGTAAATATGTTGATCGGAAGATTCTGATCTAATTTGGCTCAATCGGGAAGAAATTGTATTACGATCAAGAGGGGTGGTTTATGCTGATTGTTATTCTGAAATGTGTCCATGTAAACACTTTTTGAACATGACTCTCTAACCTGACTCAGTTCTCACTCTTTAGCCTTATTGAGGCCAGTACAGGAGGTTTTAATATTAACACTCTGGTGTACCCGGTCTGCTCCTCCGGTAACATAACAAGGCGTACATACTGCGTAATGATGTCACATCTGCATGCACCGTGCAACCTTTGACAGAACACTAAAATAAGTACGCAAGGGTGGTATCAAGTGACAACATTTAACAGGGGGAAAGCCCATGAATTGGATGGAGTGAGCGACTACAGCATTTGTTGGTTTGTTGACAGAACAGGCGTAAATACAACTCTTCTTCTGCGGTCTGTGCATGTGTCCAAATGCTTCTAATCTGAATAAAGCTTTGTATATGAATGTCATGATCGGATTATTTGATTTTGCACTCATATAAACAGTGGATTCAGATTATCCGATCCCTCAAATTTTAATCTGATCAAGAAATGTTGCACATGTAAACTTGGGTACTGTCACAATCGACATTGTAGAGAGTAGCCAACCTTCTTATTTTCACTGAATTACGTGTCTCTGCTCTATTTTTAACTTGACTGACACAATTCCTGGCTTTAATTGACAGGTTAAGCATCCTTAGTTTGCACTGCTTGAAGCCAATCAAAATATTTGTCCCTAGGTGCAAATTAAAGATTTTGAACTCTAGTAAGTCATTGTCTGCAGGATTCATTAAAGCAGCCTTTGAGCCCGACAAGTACTGCTTTGTAAAACAATAATTAGATGCGAATCAAAATAAAACCCTTCATATGTTCATACATTGATTAATTTTCTTATAATGATATAATTAAATTTAGCAATCAACATTCCCCTTTGCCAGCTGTTGTGTCGTGCAGTAGGAAATTTGCCCTGCAGTGATTCAGGCTGGCTCACTAACAGTATTATTGCACAGGCCTGTTCATCTATAACTGATTGATTATTGGCATTTCTTTTTATTATTAAAATGGATGTTTGTATAAAAGGGATTATCAAAATCCTTTTGTTTCAGTTTTCTTCAACTAATTTTTAGGTTCACTTCACTGTTGAAACACAGCCCTGTGACTGCAGGCAGTGTCTAAAGCTGAGGTGGGGAGTATGTGTTAGTCGTGACACATACTGTCGGTTGGTTCTTGCATAGCTAAGTGATATGAAAATTTAAAAAGAGCCTGAATTCCCATCACCAGCAGCTTTTACACTGAAGTTGCTTACATGAGAAAGAAGATGGAAATGCAAACCCCGCCCTGACAGATTTGCGAGCATCTTGAGTGAGGTTATACAGCTTTTGTAGATTCAATCCGACAGAGGCTGATATAACTGTTTGAACTTCATCCTTTTCTGGACTTGGACTGCAGGGACCTTCTCTGCTGCTGCAGGGAGGGTCTTAGGAGGGTCCTAAAACTTCCATTCCAGCATCTGTAAGGTGTTCGTGTCTGTCAGTTTCACTGTTTTATTTGACAGCTCAGGTGAAGGCTTCACCAACTTCAAGCTGTCGGCTGACTCAGACATGAGCTGCTCTGCTCTCTGCGGGGGGCAACAGCTTTGACTCTGGAGCTTGATAGTATCTTCCCCTTATATTCAATGTGCTCCCCGATTTACCCTCGGTCTTTCTGGTGTTGAATTTACATATTGTCTCATCTAGATAAGCTGGTTCTCCTTTTTCATTTGGCTGTATGCTGAAATGTTCACAAAAGAGCAGAAAGATTTTCACAGGGAACTTTTTGTTCATATTTTATTGTATACTTTTATACGGTGACCCTGAGGTGCAAAATACAACCGCAAATCAGAAAACACAAAAACAGCAACCAAAACACAAAAAGAGAAAACACAAAAACAATATAGAAAACACAACGACAAAACAGAAAACCCCAAAAGAGGAAACACATCACAAAATGAGAAAACACAACACAAAAAGAGAAAACACAACACAAAACGAGAAAACACAATAGTTAATGTTGTGTTTTCAGATTTGCCATAGCGTTTTCTCTCTTTGTGTTGTGTTTTCTTGTTTTGTGTTGTGTTTTCCCCTTCTGTATTGTGTTTTCTGTTTTGCTATAGTGTTTTCCCTTTTTTTTCTGATTTGCCCTTGTGTTTCCTCTTTTGTGTTGTGTTTTTCCTTTTGTGTTGTGTATTCTGATTTGCCCTTGTTTTTTCTTTCTTTTTTTTTTTTTTTAGTTTTTGGATTTTCTGTTGTGTTTTTTCTTTGGTGTCATGTCTTCTTTTTGTGTCGTGTTTTCTCTTTTGCCATTGTCTTTTCTCTTTTTGTTTTTTTAATTTTTTGATTTGTCATTGTGTTTTGCACCTCAGGGCCACCATACTGAAATGTTTAAACCTTTGAGTCGTCATCTTATCACGAAAAAACTATTTTCTGTCCTTTCCAGTCGAATTTGTTGTTTTTGTACTCGGCAATACTGTCAAAGGTGGCTATGGTTCAGAAATACAATGTGACATAGAGGTGAGTCTGCGGATGTAGTGTTGCACTCAGATACTCTGCACATGTCTGTAAGGCTGGAAGATTTCGCTGTCTCTGGCTGGTGTCACTCGATAACTAATGACACATCTCCAGTGGGAACTCTTGTGAAAGTTTGTCGGTTGGAGACGCTTCCTCCACATGACAGTGGAGATGACAGAAATATCTTGAGTGACAGCAGGCAGGTAGTGTTACTTTCTTAGTAACACTTCAGTAGGATTCCTTGAATAACATAAATAATAAATAATGCAGTTTTTAAACATGTATGAAGGGGCGTATGGATGCATGACAAACACAGTGACACATTTGTTAGAGTAAATCTGGGAAATCATGTAAATTAGGATTTTATTTAGGTCCATCTGTCAACTACAAATGTTATCATCATTCTTTAATTGTTTAATACCCACTAATTGATTTACTAAACTGGGGAAAAGTGTTGCCATGATGCATGTTGTTACCCTCACATCCTCATACAAGTATTTCTCATACCAGAATATTACCAATAGTCTCAAACACCATTGGAAACCATTGATATTATAGGCTTGCTGTGATGAAATACAACAAAGATGTATAGCAGAGCGTGTTGTATGTCCTTGGGGGACACGATTCTATACACTGTATGTCTATGTTTACTGCATCCTGTTTGCTGCGCACAGCCCGGCTCCCCAACATGAACCTGGTGTCTCAGAGGATTCTGAAGCCTGCAGGCGGAGAGTTGTTGTTCCTGTGAGGTACAACACAGCAGGTTCAAAGCAGCACAGGCCGAATGGCAGGGGATCACAATCCAATTTAGCGTGTACCAGTGTATAAATCATGCTTGGCTTTTTTTTTTTCCTTTTGTATCACCATTATTTTTAACCACAGACAAATAAGAAAGATAGATATTTCATTGATCCTGAGGGAAATTTAAAAAATAAGTAGCTAATACAACGCTTTGCAGGTTGTATTTTATTACCAGTTGATATTTGTATCCCATGATTTAATGTGAAAATGAGTGACATGAGCTAAAGCGGTCATGTCTTTGTGAAACTGGGAAGTCCTCGGAAAACTCACTGCAGATTAAATCTCAATTAAGATAGGAACAAACCTGTTAATTTAAAGGCTGATGCATTTTTTTATTGACACAGTCGGAGGAAATATCCAAAATCGATATAACTTGGTCTGCATAATTGTCTTAAAACATTACAGTAATAAGCACTTGTAATGTGGATGCTTTGTTTCACATTATAACGAATGAAAAATGTTTATTTCTGCAAAGGTAGCAGAATATTCGTGGGGTCCTGTAGTCTGTTTTGAGAGCACACACAGTTAATGATACTGTTGTTAAAACCAGTCAAGAAATAAGCTTAATCTTAAGATTTGAAGTTGAGGAATTAAAGAGCTTGCAGTGTATTCCCTGGGTCGTATAAAATATGAGAATAACAGACTGTGTCGATGGGCTACTGAGCTGAAAGGTATTTGCTGATTTACTCTGAGGATGGAGGAGAAACAATTGATTTATGCCTCCACCTGTTTGCTTTTTGTCGCAGCTAAACAGCAATCTATAGAGCGCTCATTAAATGTAACATAAGAGAGAAACCTTGCTAATCACAGGTCTAACAGCTTCGACACAAATAAATTAAGAGCAATAGAGCTCAGCAGGGAATCACCGAGAGCAGTATCGATCACTCATATGCACATTAATTTTGTCTTAATTGTGCTTTAGAAACTGAATCATTGACAGAACTGCCCAAACTTTGTTTTGTTTGGATCATTTCTTTCTTTCTCTCAGTAAGACTAAATTAGGAATCTCTCTGTAACTTAAATCTGAATGTCCCTATAACAGCGTTGGCAGACGCCTCCTGAATAATGACTTCTGGTCAAAGGTAAAGGGAACACAGAATTACTTCAGCCGTCATACAGCCGTCTGTGGCAGAGGTGTCATCTCCATTATTCATGATTGATGTAGGGAGGGGGCAGCTTCATTCAGTTGCATCTTCATTAAGCGGCAGCATTAAATCCAGATGATGATGCAGAATGTGAACGCTAGTCCTCGCTGTCTGCGGGATTAGATAGAAGTAGTTTTCATGTTAATTTATTCGTACACTGACTTTTTGACAAAGTTCCAGCAGTGAAAATAGCACGAGTAAGGGCTGTGCTGAGTCGCTTTCTGCAGGTAGTGCGATGAAAAGACAGTTTGACAAATGAAGCAACATTATCTTCAATCCTTTGACATTAATCAACTGTTAGAAAAATGAAGTTGATAAGCCATTGCAAGAAAAAGACTGAGGATTCGAGTCGAGACCGAACATAAAAGTGCAGGGAATTATGTGTTCCACTATTCAAAATAACTATCTGACCACCACTCAACAACGCAGCCAAGAATAATTCACCAATTACTTGTCTTCTTTCTTTTACACTGAAATATCAAAACCTATAATGGTGGCAGGGTACAGAGCTCTGTGGGCGAAGAAATGAAGAAACAGCATGTCTGCTGTGCTTGTCTTTGAGCAATGTACAGTATGTAATGCTTTAACAGCTCATGTATGTAACAGCTTATTGCTGCCTCCAAACAGAACTCACCACATCGTGAAGTCATGTACAGAAATTATGCTCACTGCTGGAAATGTAACTTTTATATTGCATCTGCATGACTAAAGAACGCCTGTCGTAACATAGCAGGAAAGCCAACATTTTCTTCAGAAATATCACACAATTGTAAAGAAAAATGACTTTATGACTCTGTTTAAAAACTGGATTTCATAGGCTCTGAGATTTCAACAAAAGCCTAAATAGCAAGCTCTAGTGTTAAAAAAACTGTAGCAAATGTACAGTGCTCGGCCTTAATGAGTACACCCCTTCAGAGTTGTCAGAAAACCTTTAGTTTCCTTTCAAAATCAACATTTTCTGTCAGACTATACAACAAAATACTCCCCCAAATGTAGGGCATTGATTGCAAACACGAATTTTCAAGTGGCATACAAAAAAGTATTATTTTCTATTTAATGTCAAGATGCAAAACTGAGTACACCTCAGTCAAAGTTCTGGGAGCAAAGCTGAATTTTAGTTACCATATCACCCTTATTTTCATCTTATGGTAAATAGAATGTTGTGTTAACCTCAGCTTTGTCAAAACTTTGGAAATGGTACTTTTGCCCATCTAGATATCGAGTAATACATTACTTTCAATAGGGGGTGTACTGACTTGTGCTTGGCACTGTAGCTGTTTCGTGGTAAAGGTATGGCCTATATTCTACCTCTTTGATGTTAAAGACTCCAATATGGCGAGCACCATCTCTGAGCTTCATTTCGCCTCTTTAGGTGAAGTCACTGAAACTCTGTCTGCGGTTCATACTGCCTCTGGCCATGACACATGATTTCATAACCCTGTGTCTGCTTGATTTGTTATCATAAAGCTTTTTTATACATTCTGATGATTACACTTGATATGCAGTCAGGTTTGAGAGAGAAAGTTGGACTTTTATCCGATGACAAATCCGCTATGGAGAGAGTGAATTCTAGGAGTTGTCTGATTCAGTCCACACTGATGATTCACAGTCATCAAGTGTGCAAGCAAGAGACTGCACTAGATGAGAAAAGTCACCTTACCTGAGACGTTTGACAAGAGTGAAACTTTATAGTGACAACCCCAAATCCTTGAATTTAAAAGCACACTGCTTTTATTTCAGTAAACCAAAGAAATCAGTTCATCTTATGACTTGAAGATCCCAGTGAACATACTGGGTCTCATCTCTGTCCCCAGAGTACGGTTTGTGAGGATTAACATATAAGAACTCCTATATTGGTACGAACATATTTGCAGTGCTTTCACACACACTGGGGAATCCCATATGGCTTAGGTCTTCAGTAAGGAGATAGGATCTTCGGTGAGATGTCTATTATACACAATCATGTTTACCATCTCACACTGAGCGGTGATGAGTGCAGCAGATGTCTTATGCCTCTAAGGGTTTGAATTGGAGCTCTAACTGCATCATGGCACAGCCTAGTCTTCTAGTGTTATAGACGAAGACACACAATATGACATCTGGTGAATCTTGATTTCAGAGCCTGCAAGAAGAGTCTGTGAAACGGATATGTTATGCAACAAATCAGAAGAGTTCCCAGCACAGTGGCAGCATATGATGCACAACACGGTCCAAAAATTGCCCTTCAACCAAAATAGTTGCATGCAAGTCTGCTCCACTCAGTGACATCCTGCAAGGTGGTAGTCTTTGTAGGGTAAATTTAACAAGACACCGATAGCATGTCAGTGAAGCATGCGATATTATGATGAGGAATGACCCTTTGGGAAATCAAGTTGCTGCGATCAACTTATTTCTTCACCCTCAGTGACTGGGTACAGTGCGTGAAAAGCCAGCTGACAGAAGCAGTGTCACTTTTCCAGTGATGCTGTCTGTGTATGTTTCATACGCAACAGGATCATCACAAGCCCGGGAGCTCTTTGGGAGGTTTTGTAGGAAATATGTGTTGTACTTCACTAAAGCTTCCCCCTCGAGCTCTCCACACCAGTTCCTTTTACTTAAAAAACACAAATGAAGGAGTCTATAAAATAAAAAGAAATT